CTCATGCTCCACCTCATCCTCCTCCTTCCTCTTCCTGAATCCTCCTCCTCCTCCTCCCCTCATCGTCAATCCTCCTTCCTCCTCTGAAGGCGATGGCACGCGAAATGCACATCATGGCACCTTTACCAATGGCAATATCATCAGCATCATCATCATCATCATCATCATCATCATCATCATCATCATCATCATCATCATCATCAGCAGCATCAGCATCATCATCATTATCGTCGTCACCATCATCGTAGTATTGGTATGCGTATTCGTAGTACTACTAGTACTATTATAATTCTTAGTGTTCGTAGTAGTCTTCTTAATTTGATGGTCATTCGTATTAGTATTAGTATTCGCAGTTGTTGGTTTATTATCACGGGTAGTATTATTATTCGTCTTGTTATTCTGAGTATCAGTCTTATGCGTATTAGTAGCATTCGGCTTATTAGTGCTGCTAGCGGTAGTAATAATAATAGCAGTGACATGTTTATCAATAGTATGCGTATTACTTGTCTGACCCGTAATAATCGCACGAATAATCGTCTTAATAGCATTGTTATTCGGATTAGTCGTGTTATTAATATGACTAACCGTGCTATTAGTATGCGCAGTCTTTGTTCTCCTTGATCTTAATCGTATGATCGTTTTTTTCTTCGTATTAGTTTGGTTCGTAGTATTATTACGAATAACTTAAAAGTACCATTATTATTCGTAGTAGTATTACTGCTACGATTTGTAGTACGATGTTTCGTCGTAGCATTATCCTCGTTAGTATTCGTATTAGTCTGCGTTGTCGTCGGATGGTGCTTACTAGTCTTACTTGTTTTAGTATTAATACGATTATGTGTCTGCACATAGTTCTGATTATTGTTATTATGCCGCTTAGTATTCTTCTTATGTTTCATATTACTCCTCCTCCTCCGCCTCAGCATCATGAGCATCAGCATCAGCCTCCTCATCATCACCACCACCACCACCATCACCATCATCATCAGAATCATCCTCATCAGCATCCACAACCTCATCAGCAACATCATCAGCATCATCGGCATCATCAGCAACAGCATCATCATCATCATCATCATCATCATCATCATCATCGTCATCATCATCAGCAGCAGCATCAGCATCATCACCATCCTCATCAGCAGCATCAGCAGCATCATCATCATCATCGTCATGACCATCATCATCGTCGTCATCGTCGTCATCATCAGCATCATCACCATCAGCATCATCATCATCCTCATCATCATCATCAGCATCATCAGCATCATCAGCATCAGCATCACCATCATCATCATCAGCATCCCCTTCAGCATCATCAACATCATCAGCATCATCATCATCATCATCCGCATGATCAACCGCAGCATCATCATCATCATCAGCAGCATCAGCATCGCCATCGTTATCATCATCACAACCATCATCATCATCAGCATCATCATCAGCATCATCAGCAGCAGCATCAGCAGCATCATCACCAGCATCATTAGCATCATCAGCATCGTCATCATCATAATCAGTAGCACAGTCATCATCATCATCACCTTCATCATCAGCATCAACAACATCATCATCATCAGTAGCATCAGCATCATGATCGGCAGCATCACAAACAACAGCATCATCATCATCATCCTCGTCATCATCCTCATCCTCCTATTCATCCTCATCATCATCATCATCGTCATCGTCTTCATCGTCATCAGAATCATCATCATCATCATCATCATCATCATCATCATCATCATCATCATCATCATCATCATCATCATCATCATCATCATCATCATCGCCACCATCATCATCATCATCATCATCATCAGCAGCAGCAGCAGCAAAGGCCACATCATTAACACCGACCGCATCCTCACCCTCATCCTCACCACCCGCCCCATCAACTACCGGTCCGTCCTTCTCCAATACCCTCCCTGCTTTCCCCCCCCCTCCTACTCCTCCTCCTCCCTCCTCCTCCTCCTCATCCTCCTCCTACGCATCGACACCAGCATCCGCATCATCATCATCATCATCATCATCATCATCATCATCATCATCATCATCATCATCATCATCATCATCATCAGCATTCTCATCATCATCATCATCCTCATCATCATCATCATCATCAGCAGCAGCATTCTCATCATCACCACCACCACCATCATCATCATCATCCTCATCATCATCCACAACCTCATCAGCAACATCATCAGCATCATCGACATCATCAACAACAGCACTATCATCATCATCATCATCAGCAGCAGCAGCAGCATCAGCCTCAACAGCATCATCATCAGCAGCATCAGCAGCATCATCATCATCAAGATCATCATCATCATCATCAGCATCATCAGCATCATCATCATCATCTTCATCAGCATCATCACATCATCTCCCGCCCATCACCTCCCCTCCACTCCCCATCCCATCCCGTCTCTGCCCCTCCTCCTGCACTCCTCCTCCTCCTCCTCCTCCTAGTCCTCCTCCTCCTCCTCCTCCTCCTCCTCCTCCTCCTCCTCCCCCTCCTCCTCCTCCTCCTTTTCCCGCCTTTTCCTCCTTTTCGTCCTCATACTCAATCCTCCTCCTCCTCCAACGTTTCCTCCTCTTCCTCCTCCTCATTTTCCTCCTAGTCCTCCTCCTCCTTCCTCGTCCTCCTCATCATCCTCCTCCTCGTCCTCCTCCTCTCCTCGACCTTCTTCTCCTCCTCTTCTCGTCCTCCTTCTCCGCCTCATCCCCTCCCTCCTTCTTCTCCTCCTCCTCCACCTCCCCCTCCTCTCCTCCTCCTCCTCCTCCTCCTCCTTCCCCTTCTCCTCCTGATCCTCCTCCTCCTCCTCCTCCCTCCTCCTCCTCCTCCTCTTCTCCTCCTCCTCCTCCTCCTCCTCCTCCTCCACCTCTTTCCTTCTCCTCCCCCTCCCCTCCGTCTCCATCCTCCTCCTCCTCCTATATCCTCATCATCATCATCATCATCATCATCATCATCATCATCATCATCATCATCATCATCATCATCATCATCAGCATCATCATCATCATCATCATCATCATCATCATCATCATCATCATCATCATCATCATCATCCTCAGCATCATCGTCATCATCATCATCATCATCAGCATCATCATCATCATCAGCATCATCATCGTCATCATCATCAGCATCAGCATCATCATCATCCGCATGAGCAGCAGCAGCAGCATCACCATCATCATCATCATCATCATCATCATCATCAGCATCATCGTCATCATCAGCACCAGCATCAGCATCATCAGCGTCAGCATCATCCTCATGATCATCGTCATGATCATCGCCATTATGTTAATAATAACAAGTACAATAATAAATACATGCAATAAAAATAAGAATCAGTATCATGATCGTCAGCAGCATCATCACCACCGTCAGCATCAGCATCAGCGTCACCATCATGATCATTATCGCTATAATAAGCAGCAGCATCACAGTCATCGTCATCATCATCATCAGCAGCAGCATCATCATCATCCTCACCAGCAGAATCAACATCCTCATCAGCATCATCAGAATCAGCATGAGCAGCATCATCATCAGCATTATCAGTATCATCACCACTGCCATCATCCTTACCATCACCATTACCATCACCATCAACACCATCATCATCAGCATCATCATCAGCATCATCATCAGCCTCAGCATTGTCAGCATCAGCGTCATCAGCATCACCACCATCAGCGTCGTCATCATCATCGTCGTCGTCAGCATCAGCATCAGCATCAGCATCAGCATCAGCATCAGCATCATCACCATCCTCAGCAGCATCATCATCATCATCCTCATCCTCATCATCATCAGCATCATCAGCATCAGTATCAGCAGCATCAGCATGAGCATCATCATCATCGTCACCAGCATCATGATAATCAACGTCATCATTACTATCATCATCAGCATCATCAGCATCATCGTCAACAGCATCGTCGTTAACATCAGCTGAGTCCGTATCAGCATCATCATCATCAGCAGCATCATCATCCGAATCAGCACAATACCATTCATCACCATCATCACCATCACTTTCTGTTTAACCATCATAATCGAAACCAACATCATCGTCATCATCATGATGACGATGCTGTTGGTTTCGAATGAACATGATAATCAACGTCATCGTCATTATCATGACGTTGATTATCAGGATGACTCATCATGATAATCAACGTCATCATCATTATCAGCATCATCAGCATCATCATCAACATCATCGTCGTCAACATTATCTGAATCAGTATCATCATCATCCGAACCAACACAGTATGATTCATCATCATCACTTTCTTCGTATTCATCATAATCGTAATCAGCATCATCATCAGCAGCATCGTCATCATTATCATCATCATCAGCAGCATCATCATCATCAGCATCATCACCATCATCACCAGTATCATCATCAGAATCATAATCATAAGCATGATCATAAGCAACAGCGTCATCATCATCATCATCATCATCATCATCAGCATCATCATCATCATCATCATCATCATCATCATTAGCATCCTCGCAATCGCAAACAGCAGCATTATTAGCCTCACTAGCATCGCCATCATCACCAGCATAATCGTCACCATCATCATCATCAGCATCATCATCAACCTTATCATCGTCTGCATCGTCATCATCACCGTCTTCTCCTTCCGCATCATCGTCAACATCATCAGCATCAGCATCACCATCATCATATTCATCAACCCCATCAGAATCATCATCATCCTGGTCGTCGTCGCGAGCGTTACTAACATCATCGTCATCAGCATCAACAACATTAGCATCAGCACCATCATCAGCAGTAGCATCATGGTCGTCATCATCGTCATCAGCTTCGTCACTATCATCAGCAGCATCACCAGCATTGTTATCAACAGCATCAACATCAACATCAGCATCACCATCATCATCATCAGCAGCATCATCAGCATCATTAGCATCACCATCACCAGCACCATCACCATCACCATCGTCATCGTCGCCATTGCCACCGACATCATCATGCTTATGCCCCCCTCCTCCATGCCTCCCTCTCCCTCCTTCCTCCTCTGCCCTCCGCCCTTCACTTCCTCCCTCCGCGCCCCGTTCCGCCGCCCACTAATCCCCCATTCCGCTCATCCCTCCCCTTTCCTCCCTCCCCTCCCCTCCTCCGCCTCAGTAGTCGAGCGGGGGGAAGGGACGAAGAGGAAGACTACGACGACGACGCCGAAAACGACGACGACGCAACAGCGACGGCGAGACGTTGGCGGCGGCGGCGGCTGCAGCGGCAACGAGGGGGTCCCGCAAAAGGCCTGTCCACCAGCCGCTGCACGTGGTCGCTGATTGAGCCCCGCTGCCACGTGTCGAATGCCTCGTCCTGGTGCCGCGAAGCTTCACGGGTGTCAACTCCATCAATTGAAGGAGGGGGAGGGAGGGAGGGAGGGAGGGAGGGAGGGAGAGGGAGGAAGAGACGAAGGGACGGAGGAACGGACGGAAGGAGGGAAGGGAGGGGAGGGGAGAGGAAGAGGATATGTACATCCTACAACGCACCAGTGTTCATCATCGTCCTCCTCCTTCTTTTCTTCCTCCTCCTCCAGCCCCGCCCACTCTTCCTCCTTAGCCTCGGGGGTTCCATCCGAGGCGGAAGCCCCTTCCATGCATCGACGAGGTGCTGGAATTCTGGAGGAAAAGAAAAAAAACAAAACAAACAAAAAACAAAAAAAAAAAAAAAAAAAAAAAACGACGGCGGCGCTCTGGTAGAGACCCTCGAAGCCGCCGCGGGTATACCCCAGGCATCTTCCTCGTCAACGCATTGGGCATGTTAATTGTCGCGTGTTCGGGGCGCGAGTGGCACCCGGAATGCCCCACAAGATAGTCATGGAAATACTCTTCGTGCGTCACGTCGTCACTTCACTGAGCACCACCGACTGCACGATAGCCAAGAGGAGTACGCATCGGGACCCAGGTCTGCCAAGTAGCCAGGGGAGCGTGGGTAACGCAGAAAGTCATGTCCCAGGGGATCGAAGGCGGATAGTCCTGGATTCGTTGTGGCCCCCCAGAGAGCTGACAACAAAGTCGCCAAGCCCTACATTATCTTCTCGCTCGTTCCCCCCTGTGTCCCCCATGGCTATGGCAACACAGGAGCCAGAAGCCCAGAACGCTTCGCCAACACCTTAGGTGTGAACGTCGGATCAATCGACTGTCGGACAGACCGGCTGCACCCACAGGCGGATGCCGGGAGGCGTCGTGCCCGTTGCCGCTCCCCCACGGGGCTCCTGCAACATGGTCACGGGGAGCTCGTGGCCCTTCGCCAACGCCGTAGACGTGAACTTTTGTGTCAAGCAACTGTCCGACGCCAAAGATTACACTCACAAGCGAATGCACTGATGGCGTCCGGTCCACGAGCTGCTCACATAGTCCGAGCCAGCACGGGAAAAGGTGCCAGAAGGGAGGGCGCAGAGGCGCGGCCCTTGACGTTGAGGTTCTCGTCGCGGTGAACGTGCGCCTCCCCCACAGTCGGTCCTGGCGGCTGGGCGGGCGGTGCCCCCACGGTCCTCAGAGATCCGTCGCCTGCCGCGATGTACGGGTAGACGATCGCGAACACGGAGAAAACAGTCCAGCGCGTTGTCGACGCGGGCGGTGGAAAACAGTGGAGCTTCATAAGGTGGTCATTGCACAAGGTTGTGTCACACGGCGTTGTGATGGAACACAGGTCATCGAAAAAACGCAGGAAGGGAGTGCCGCGCGGGCCATGGCGGCGGTGTGAAGGGAGCCGAAACTCCGCTACCAACTAGAAGTAAAAGATCTGGATAGATCTGGCACCTATTACAGAATAGAAGACAAGGTGTACCAAACGTGTATGAAACGGACACGGCAGGTTGCAGCCAGCCGAACCCCCAGACAGACTAGCATAGAAACGGGAGAACATTACAAAGGGGGGGCATGTTAAGGAACCGTTCGAGTAATAGAAGGGGAGGGGAAGGGGAGAAGGAGGAGGAGGAGGAGCACCAGCAGCAGCAGGCGAGGAGGAGGAGGAGGAAGGAGGAGGAAGAGGGAGGACGGAGGAGAAGAAAGAGGACGAGGAGGAGGACGAAGAGGGAGGAGGAGGAGGAGGAGGAGAGGAAGAGGAGGAAGAGGAGGAGGAGGAGGAGGTGGAGGTGGAGAAAGGGGAGGGAGACGGAGAGGGAGGCGGAAGGAGGAGGGAGAGCGGGACGACTGGCAGCAGGAAGGAGGAGAAAGGTCGGAGGAGAAAGGAGAAACAGGAGAAAGGAAAAGGACGAGGACGAAGTGAAGGAGAAGGGAGAAGAGGACGAGGAGGGACGAGGAGGAGGCGGAGGAGGAGGAGGACGAGAGAAAGGAATAAAGAGGGGAACCGAAAAAAATTGGGAGGTCTTCCGAGGCAGCCAGCAGCAGCAGCAACAGGAAGGGGAACAAAGGACGGACGAGGAAGGAGGAGGAGGAGGAAGAGGAGGAGGAGGAGGAAGAAGAGGCGGAGGAGGAGGAGGAGGGGGAGAAGGAGAACGAGGAGGACGAGGGGGGAGGAGAAGGAGGAGGAGGAAGAAGAGGAGGAAGAGGGAGGACGGAGGACGGAGGAGAAGAAGGAGGACGAGGAGGACGAGGGAGCGAGGAAGGAGAAGGAAGGAGGAGGAGGAGGAGGAGGAAGGAAGTGGCGGAGTAGGGAAAGGAGGAGGAGAAGGAGGAAAAAGAGGAAAGGGACGAACAGGAAAGGGAGGAGGAGCAGCAGCAGGGAGGCGGGGGCCTCCCACGCGCACCACCCCCAGGCCCCGCGTCCTCAGCACACGAGGTGAAGACCATCTCGGACCGCAGGCTGCACGAGCCGTTCGTCTTGCCTGCTTCGAGGGGGGTTGCTTCGAAAAAGGTGTCCCCCCCTCCCCGGGGGGGACCAACATCCCCCCTCCTCCTCCTCCTCCTCCTCCTCCTCCTCCTCCTCCTCACTCCTCCTCCTCCTCCTCCTCCTACCTCCTCCATTTCCTCATCCCTCCTCCTCCTCCTCTTTCTCCTCCTCCTCCTCCCCTCCTCCTCCTCCTTCTCCTCCTCCTCCTCTCCTCCTCATCCTCCTCCTCCTCCTCCCTCCTCCTCCGCCTCCTCCGCCTCCTCCGCCTCCTCCTCCTCCCTCCTCCTCCGTCCCTCTCTCCTCCTCCTCCTCCTTCCTCCTCCTCCTCCTCCTCCTTCCTCTCCTCCTCCTCCTCCTCCTCCTCCTCCTCCTCCTCCTCCTCCTCCTCCTCCTCAACGGCCCCCTTCATGCGGGGCGTTGTTCGTGAAGGGCTGGAACTGGGCCCGCGACCAGCGGGATGGCAAGGGAAGAGACAAAGGACGCTACAACCTGGACGGCAACGGGGAATTCAGCAGACACTTCCTGGCTGACCTAACCGACTCCAACTTTGACATCTGGAGTTTTTGCCGCTACCGCGATGCATTGGTCGACTGGGACGACGTGTGGCGCCAGCAGCAAGAGCGCCAAGCGCACATTGGCGGGGGGAGAGGCAAACGAGGCAAGCGCACCAGCGACGCCTCGAGGCCCTCCAGGGGTCAATCCCGCCTGCGTGGAAATTACCCCTGGGGGTGAATAACGGGCTGGCGCTAGCGCCCTGGACGGAGGCGCTCCATGGTGGCGCGCAGGGCCAGCCGCCTCCGTCGCCCACGCCGAGGCTCGAACGCGCTTGAAGCGCACACGCTGGGGTCAGCTCAGGCTGCATTCGCTGCCACCTACCCGCCTGGTTCCGACATCACTCGGCGCCTGCTCCCCAAGGCGGGCACCGTTCAGGGTCACACGACTTGCACCCCGATGGTGGCGCGCAGGGCCTGCCCCCCCAGGTGCACGCCCTTGCCCCTCGACCTGTTCGTTCACCGAGCAGGTGCTCCTGGCGCCCGCGCCCACCCCCCAGGGTGCCACGCCGCTCCGTCCTGGGAGGCCGCCCCCCGAGGCGGGCGCCCTCTGCGCCTTGCTCCGCATGTCCGCGCACCGGCCAGGTGCTCCCGACCCGCGCGCTGCCCCCCGAGGTGGCACGCCTTCCTGTTCCCTCCCAGTCCCGACCTGGCGGAGAGTCCACCCCCCAAGGCGGATGCTCCTTCTCTGTGCCTGGCTGGGGCGTCTACCCCCCAGGGTTGACGCTCCCCCTTGGTCGCGAGCTCGTGCACCGATCCGGTGCTGCCGAGAGAGATGGCATGAGGGAGGAGTCCGCCGTGCTGCTCGCGGTGCAAATGCTGGAGGCGTCATGCTGCCTGCGTGCTGCCGAGATCAGAAGTGCTGCTCTCAGGCGCGCCGCCCCGCGCGCGGCCCCCCCACGGGCTGCGCGCCGGGCGGGCCCCCCCCCTGAGGCCCGCTCTGGGCCGCCCGCCCCGCGGCAGCTGGGCCCGCCCCCGCCTGGCTGCCCCTGCAGCTGGGCGTTCCCGCAAGCGCGTCCACCCTGGCGCACCTCGGCCAGATCGCGCATGACAGCTCGGCGAGGCTGATCTCTTTCAGCCGCTCGTCCAGCTTCGATGTGAACCTGATCGACCGCCTCGCCGCGCGAGAGCTGAGAGAAGGCGTCTGCCGCTGCGCTGACACCAACCGGGGTTTGCCTCTTCCCCCGCCGCCGCCCTGTCGGCGATGGCCCCTGCCGCACCGCCCCTGCTCTTCGGCGCCATGGGGGCTCTGCCTGGCACCTTTTTACGCTGCAGCCTGCGTGCTTTGACGCTGTCTTTCTTCCGCCCTCCCTGGCTGTGATGCACGCACGAGCCAGGCGTGGCAGCCCGCCTCCTTGTAGGGAAACGAACTCTATACACCGACGCTTTCGCCAGCCCTGCATTGAAATTTGTACAGGAAAGCTGATCCTGGTGTATACGGGATCCTGGTGTATACATTTTGCGGTGTTTCCCCAGGAAACGGAAAAGGATACACCACACCACCCCGACGTCCTCCCTGACTCTCAAAAAATCCAGGGACTGAAAAGCAGCCCGCCACTGGTAATGTGTATGCTCCAGTTTCCAACCTTTCTCCCCCCTCCCACGCCGCCGCCACCTGGGCCCCGCCTGGCGATGTCAGCTGGCTCCGCCCCTGCCGCTGCAGCCCACTCTTCGACGCAGCCCCGCCCCCCCTCCCACGGCTTTCGAACCGTGTCTCGCATACTGCTGGCGCTCTTCCTTTGCAGCAGAGTCTAACGCCCGCGGTATCGTGGTGAGCCTGTGGATGTTCCCGCTGCTGCTGCTGTGTGTCCTCGTTTCTCTCGACGGGCGAAGAACGGTATAAAATAAACTTTTTCGCCGTCGGGGACACCTGCCCCAGGGCGGCTGGAAAGTTTATACCCTTACGGTGGCACCGTACGGGGGTGTCCCCGACAGCGAAAAAGTTTATTTTATACCGTTCTTACCGTTCTTCGCCCATTAATTCTCGGTGTACTGGCAGGCGTTGCCCATCACGCCTTCGGCGCCTGCAGTCTCAGCTTCGGCCCCTGGGCTTGACGCCGCCCCGCGCACACTGCCAGGTGCCCCTCAGCTCAGGCTGGCTGCACCAGCGCGCTCTTCCTGAAACTCTCCTCGTGGCGAGTGCCCTCCTCCCCCCTCCGCGTCCTCCGCGGCCGCCCCTCCCGCCCCTTCTCCTCTTGCCGCCGGCCCAATCATCACGCCGTGCGCCCCTGGTTACCCTAGCGCGCGCACGGACTGCCTCTGCCGCGCTGCGACGGAGAATCCTTGCCCGGCGTTCCCGAGGTTGCCAGACTCCAGGCTGCCAAGCAGCTCCAGGCAATACGGATCAAGGCCACAGTGCCAAGCAAAGCCAAGCGGCGCCAAGCAAAGCCAAGCCACGCAGAGCAAAGTGTCAGTGCCAAGCATTGCCAAACAATGCCAAACAAAACCAAGCAATGCCAAGCATTGCCAAACCATGCCAAGGAAAACCAAGCCTGGATTAGGATCCTCCAATGGCTTCCGTTTGGGAACTAATCCGATCGAAGATCGACTGGGTTTGGGCGAACTTCCTGCAGGGACACAGAAGTGCCGGTCTGCCCAGAAAGCTCGCTCTGCATCTATGGGCTGACCGCTCGCTCTGAGGTCACCGTCGGAGGGACGCACCGCAGCACAGCCGTGCCATCCGAGAGCAGAAGTCGGTCAGGCGCAGCTGCACCCCTCCTCTCCTCCTTCCTCGTCACCTGCCATTGTGTCTTGTGTCCTCCGTGCGTGCTCGAGCGTGCGTGGCGGCATTCAGGTTAGGCGATATCTCTGGGCCAACCAAGAAGTGCCAAGCGAAGCCAAGCGCTCCCAAGCAATGCCAAGCAATGCCAAGCAATGCCAAGCAATGCCAAGCAACGCCACGCAATGCCAAGGAATGCCAAGCAATGCAAACCAATGTCAAGGAATGCCAAGCGAAGCCAAGAAATGTCAAGCGACGCGAGGCAACGCCGGGCAAGGCCCCAGGCCACGCTGCGCCGTGCAGACCAGCGCCAAGCAACGCTGCGCAAAGCCGAAAAGGCAAAGCAGCGCAAAAGCATGCCAAGCGGTGCCCAACGCGCCTCGAAGCCCGCCTGGCGAGCGCTCCCCCAGGGTGGGGGCCGCGCCGGGCTCTGCACCCGTGCGAGGCAGGAGGAGGAGGAGGAGGAGGAGGAGGAGGAGGAGGAGGAGGAGGAGGGGAGGAGGGAGGAGGAGGAGGAGGAGGAGGAGGAGGGAGGAGGGGGGGGAACGGGGGGGAGGGGGAGGGAGGAGGAGGCCGAGGAAGGGAGGGAGAAATGGAGGAGGGGGAGAGGAGGAGAGGAGGAGGAGGAGGAGGATGAGGAGGAGGAGGAGAGGAGGAGGAGGAGGAGGAGGAGGAGGGAGGAGGAGGCGGGAGGGGGGAGGGGGAGGAGGAGGAGGAGGAGCGGAGGGGGAGGAGGGGGGGAGGAGGAGGAGGAGGAGGAGGAGGAGGAGGAGGAGGAGGAGGCGGAGGAGGAGGCGGTGCGGCGAGGTTTCGCCTGGTGCCCCCAGCGGTGGCAGCCCGTGGGCGCCCGGTCTGCGCCCCCGTGCGCTGCGTGGGCCCGCCCGGGAGCGCGCCGGGGCCGCCCCGTTCGCGGGGCGGCTGCGGCGGGGTGTCGCAGGGCGCCCGCCCGGGTCCGCCCCCGTGCGCTGTTGTGCACCACGTGCCGCACGCCACACACGACGTGCATCACGCAGCTTGCGGCGCCCAGCCTGCACCGCACGCGCTCTCTCTCTCTTCAAAACGACACAGACGTCACCACTGTCCCGAACATGGACTTATCGATTCCCCCTGGAGCACTGCAGTTGATGACAACGAAGAAAAACCCAATGATAGTCTTTTTCGAGCTATAGGGCTATGGGGCTATGAGGCTATAGGGCTATGGGGCTATAGGGCTGTAGGTCCATAGGGCTGTAGGTCCAAAGGGCTATCAGGCTATAGGGCTAAAGGGCTATAGGGCCATAGGGCTATGGGGCTCTGGGGCTATGGAGCTATAGGGCTATAGGGCCATAGAGCCATAGGGCCATAGGTCTATAGGGCTATAGGGCTATAGTGCCATAGGGCTGTAGGGCTATAGGGCTATAGGGCCATGGGGCTGTAGGGCTGTAGGGCTATAGGGCTATAACGTTATAAGGCTCTAGGGCTAGAGGGCGGCATGGCTATCGGGCTGTAGGGCTATAGGGCTATGGGGCTATTGGGCTATTGGGCTATAGGGCTATAGGGCTATAGGTCTATGGGACTGTTGGGCTATAGGGCTATAGGGCTATGGGGCTATAGGGCTATAGGGCTCTAGGGCTATACGGCTATAGGGCTATAGGGCTATAGGGCTATAGGGCTATAAGGCTGTAGGGCCATGGGGCTACAGGGCCATAGGGCTATTGGGCTATAGGGCTATGAGGCTATAGGGTTATGGGGCTATCGAGCTATAGGGCTATAGGGCTATAGGGCTATAGGGCTATAGGGCTATAGGGCTACAGGACAATAGGGCTGTAGGGCTATAGGGCTATAGAGCTGTGTGGCTATGAGGCTATAAGGCACTCGGGCACCCGGGCCGGCCGCGGAAATCGGTGACAAACCTCACCTAACTATATGAATCCGCTAGGACCCCTGCAGAGGCAAGCTTTGATTGGGGTACATAGTCTTATGCCTCATCGTTCACTGTCCATGTGAAAAATACGCCCGCATGATCATCTCACCATGCGGTGCATCTGCGTTGATCTAACATGCGCCCAGCGCACGAATTCATATCAAACAAAACCATGCGATCCACACGCGCGCGCCTCCACGCGCACGTGTCGACATCCTGCCCAACAAAATGTGTTTCCATCGCATGTTCAAGTAGAGCTCTTCAAAACATCTCAGAATCAGGATGACTGTCAGCGAAGAAGTCTTCCAGGTTTCTTGAATTTGTGCGCGCACACCCTGCCTCACCACCACCCTCATCAGCGCCATGGCATCGCCACCGTCATCGTCATCGCAAATCGCCGCCATTGCCGCCATCATCAACACAACCATGTTCATCGCCGGCGCATGGACTTCATCATCGTCATCGTTGTCACCAGCATCGGCACCATCATTGCAGTCGTCATCGTCACAATCGCGACGAGGAGGAGTAGGAAGAGGAGGAGGAGGAGGAGGAGGAGGAGGAGGAGGGGGAGGAGGAGAACAAGAAGGAGAAGGCAAAGGAGAAGAAGAACGAGAAGGAGAAGGAGAAGGAGAAGAAGAAGAGGGAAGAGGACGAGCACGCCGAGGGGGATGGGAAGGGGCGCGAAAAGCGAAAAGAAGGAGGGAGGAGCGAGGATGAAGGGTCTGGTCGATTGCATGCTACAGTACAGGTTCCCAGGCCTGCGTCCACCACGATCCCTTCGCACCATTCGTCGGCCTCGCACGCCAGCATGCAGTCATCAAGGTCGGTGATGTTCCCATCGGTGTTGCCCTCGCTACCATTCGGGAACCTTGACCAGAAGAACACGCAGAGTAGGAGAAGGACGAACCGGAAGAGGAGAAGGACCCAGAGGAGGGAGGACCACGAAGAGGGGGAGGAGGAGGAGGAGGAGGAGGAGGAGGAGGAGGAGGAGGAGAAGGAGGAGGAGGAGGACGGACGGACAAAAAACATCACCAGGAGTAGGGGAAGGAGGAAGACGAGGAGGAGGAGGCAGAGGAGGACGAGGACGAGGAGGAGGAGGGACGAGGAACAAGGGGCAGGGAAGAGGGCCACGAGCAGGAGGCGGAGGAGGAGGAGGAGGCTGAGACCGAGACTGAGCTATGGGGCAGAAGCCCGCCCCCTCGTCCGAGGATGCAGCGTCAAGCTTACATCTCCTCCTGAGGCAGCTCATGAAGAACCCGCCTAAACTTCTGAGCAAACACGACTACAGCAGTCGGCGAGTCCAACCCATGCAGCTTAGCGACCTGCAGACCTGAAACCTAGGAACAAGGAGACCAGACGAAGCGGCAGCAGCAACGCGGCTGGAGGGCCCGTCCTAACCGCCGAGGACGGCGGCGGTTGCCTCCCCGAAAGCGAGAGACAGACATCAGTCTCGATGTGCGGACTGCGACCTCCGCCGCGCTCGGGCCTGACGCGTCGCCGATCCGAGCCTGCACTCTGCCAGGAGAAAAACAATCCTCCGAAGTTCGGACCGCTGAATCGTCAACCCTGGAACCGCTGGCCCCTGACAAGGGCAATCCAGGCCCTCCCCGCCCCCTGAACTGCAGAAACATAGAGGTTCCACAGGACGTACAGAAAAGCACAGCATCCCCCGCCTGAACCTCAGCACCTCTGCCGATACTGAGACGACCCGCTTGCACAGCACTGTGCCCATTGAACTCCCAAAGAGTTCCCGAGGCCTGGAAACACACACACACACACACACACGCACGCACGCACGCACGCACGCACGCACGCACGCACGCACGCACAGACACACAGACACACAGACACACAGACACACAGACACCACACAGACACACACACACACAGACACCACACAGACACACACACACACACACACACACACACACACACACACACACGCACGCACGCACGCAC